TTAACACTCACAGTCCGTGATTTATAAGATATATTATAAGACACCCAGCTATCGCCTTAGACACTCCTGCTCGCGTTTTAAATATAGCATTTGAAGAATCATCTTATAATGAAGATTGAATAGTTCATCATCTCACCAAGAATCATGATCTTAGAATAAATGCTTTACAGTAAGTATATTACGCAAAAACTCAGCAGCGAGAAGAATCTTTAAAATGGCTGTTAATTATACATGCATGTCCACTGAAGAAATATTATGGTAGCTATTATGGTATTTGGATTTAAATTATTATTATATTTATAAGCATCTTTTCAGACTTCAAGGATGAAATAACGTTCAAAATTTAATTGTCCCGAAAAAATGTCCGATCAAAATGAAATTTGATTGGAAATTTTGATTTCATGCCTTCGTTGGGGAAATTTAGCCAATATATAAATAATACTTTATAGCAAACACTAGCCAGTGTAGTTACTGTAAATCTTTTACATTTAATGTTCTTTGCAGGAGGATTGTATGCAGCTTTTGGTTTGCCCAGTGTTTGAAGGTCAGTTCATTGATTTCTATTTAAACTGTCCGACTAATTTAGCATTTGGTCGTAAAAATGTTATGTGGTTGGAAAATGTCCGACCATTATTCCAGGCTCTGTCTGTAATTAACATGCCTTAATTTGCTGCTGAATTAACCATATAAGATATCTATGGAATTAACACTAATAATTATAATGCTATCCATTCACTAGGAACGTTTTGTTGTCTTTTTGTAAATGTATTGAATATATCCCACTGTTCTCCATGCCATATATCAACTCAACTGTTCTGACTTATTTTCATCTGTGTCAGTGCAAATTTTAAGATCATTATTAGTAGTTTGACTGTTAACCCTCCTTTGGCCTTGCTGGGGAACCTAGTGGGAGGGGGAGAGAGGCTGTATGCCTAGCTAGTGGAGTGCCTTGCAAGTGTGTCAATATCTAAAAGTAAAAGGGCTAATTCTGTGTGTAAAATTTGCATAATTTTATCCTCTGGAGAAAATGCAAAATTTATAGGCACTAATCATTGAAAAAGGAAGGTCCGTTGTGTTTCATCTTGGACGAATGGAAAAAAATGCATGACTTTTATGTTTAATGCGTGAAGGTTGACAGCCCTGATGCCATATGAGCATGCAATGAGCCATAATTAGTCCAATTTACTCACAGCTTTGCTTTTAGCCAAATGAGTTCGATACTCTTTGCTCTGTTGTCTCATTTTCATGATGACCTCTTTGTTGGTTTTGATCTTCCACTGCGCAGTTTCCTTGTACGCCTTCGTATCTCCGCCTGTGACAAAATGCAAATTAATATCAATTTCAAGTACCGGTACCGTACTTTGTATGTTAATTAAAATACTAGGATGAGGCAGTTAATCAATAAACTGGTATAAGCAGACGTTTTTCAAAAACTGAGTCAACGGATGTTGTTATTGGCAAAAATTGCAAGGGGGGGGGGGATGAAAAAACAGAAAAAATTGTTTGAAACTTATAGATGTGGGAATTACAGTATAATATGGAAATGGCACTAGTTCAACCCGTTTTCTGACAAAACTTTCAAATGTTAAAAACATGAGAAATAGAACACTTATAATGGTGGCTTACCTCTTACATATTAGGGCATTACTGATAGTACTATATACCATTAATACAAATATAAAACGTTTTTAAAATTTAAATTCTGAACGACGTGTAACATGAAATTTCTAACTGCAGAAGTCTGCATTATATTGGAACATAAGTTATAAAAATCTTTTTTTCGTTTTTTTTTCATACAGTTTTCAGTGGCCGGTCTATAAAACACCGTGACTTGCTGAACTGATGCCCGGTCTACTGGGCCGACCAGTCTCATGTGAATAGCTTACAGGTACTTAGTCACAATACTTTACAACAGATTTATAACCACCTGTTATACATACAGCTAGTTAAACAAACTGCACATTGTGTTTATGACTTTAATAGTGTTTATAGGTCTATTAATTAATCCAATAAGTACCAACGCTCTCTTGTTGACGAGTAAAATCGCCTGGGATTAGAAAGAGTAAAATAATAAGTAGGGCTCAATGTGACTCAATGGGTTAACTAAAGACACATGGGCAGATCGCTAGGTAACCCATAAGTGCCAGCGCTCTCCCCTTGACAAGTTAAATCGTCTGGCGTTAGACAGAGTAAAATAATAAAGTAGGGTCATCAGGGTGCATGCAATGCAACTCAGTGGGTTAACTAGACACATGGGCAGATCGCTAGGTAACCCATTAAGTGCCAGCACTCTCTCCTTGACAAGTAAAATTGTCTGGCATTAGACAGAGTATAATAATAATTAAAGTAGGGTGCATCAGGGCAAATGCAACTCATTTTTTGCTATGCCATTCAACACTACATATTACAGCTCAAAATCAGAAAATCCCATCCTGGTCAGGTGGGATGAAGCTAGCTTTAGATGGAAAATTTTATCCTACTTGACAGGCGAGATGAGATCTCACTTTAGCCCGGTGTCACGGTCTCAGCACTCCCCCAGTCTGAGTTATCCGTTTTGATTATCTGCGCATGCGTGAAAAGAGCGGACCGCTGAGCACGTAGCTAGCTGGCCTGAACGCTCCCTGCACCCGGTACGACCATTTTATGCGACTAGATAGTCGCTAAAGTATGCGGAAAAGTGGCGACTGATAGTCGAGGAAAATGTGCACCGTCGTATGGCTGAGCCTGCTAGTAAACCGTAACCACTGCACAAGAGTTTTAGTTATAAGTGTAGCTGTCCTTGCTTGGCGGATGGTGGGGAGGTGGGAGTATAGTTCCCCGGAGGGGTAGCTGGCCGGGGTTGGGGTTTGCGGTTGGGTTGCGGGGTTAGCAGGTGGGGTTAGGGGTCAGGGGTTAGGGTTAGGGGTTAGGG